ATATATATATATATATATATATATATATATGTGCATATATTTATATGGAGAGATATATATACTGTATATATTATATACTACGCATATCATAGATATATATATATATATATATATATATCAACAACTGTTGCTGCAGCAACAACTGCTGCTGCAGCAGCAACTGCTGCTGCAGCAACAACTTCAGCTAAAGGTGCGGTTAGGATTGCTTCTGGCTAGAAGCAGCAGCAGCTGCTGCAACGCCCAGCAGCAAAACCTCCGCAGCAGAATAATATGCAGGAGCAGCAGCACATACACGAGCGGTGGCGCTGCTGCAGCAGCTACCCACTCCTCTAGCAGCAGCAGCAGCAACGAGATGCAGCTGCAGCAACGACATGCAGCAGCAGCACCAGTGGAAATAGCAGCAGCAGCAGGAAAAGCAGCAGCAGCAGCAAACGGCAGACGTGCAAGAAACAGCACCTTCACAGCAGCAGATACTCCTGCTGCTACTCTTGGGGTCTTTCATTTGATCTCTTTGCTGCTGTCTAGGGTTTAGGGTTTAGGGTGTATGAAAGGAGAGATTTCTCTCTTCATGCGGCCCTGACTTCCTCTAGGGGTGACCTTCTTAACAAACCCTAAACCCTAAACCCTAAACCCTAAACCCTCGGGCGGGAAGTGCCGCTACTGGCAGCTATCTCTCTCAGAGCATCTCTTGGGTCTCCATGCTTGCTCGGCCTAAACCCCAAACCCTAAACCCTAAACCCTTAACCCTTAGCTCTAAACCCTAAACCCTAAACGCTGAGAAAGGTTTAAGCGGGGGGAGACTTCAGAGGCAGACAGCGAGCGCCACTACGCAACAGTGCTTCAGCACTATGAGGCTACAAACCCTAAACCCTAAACCCTAAACTTTAAACCCTAAACCCTAAACCCTGAGCCCTAAAGCCTATACCCTGGCTTTGGGGTAGGAAGTGGCAGGGACAATGCTTGCTGCACTGGGATAAGCGAACGGCTGCACTGTCTGCTGCAGCAGAAGCAGCAGCAGCAAACCCTCCACCGCCAGCAGTAGCAGCAGCAGCAGCAACTTTTATTGCGGCTGCAGCACTGGCCCTCCCGTGGGGTGTATGTACACCTCAAAAGGTCCACTGGGCCTCGCAGCCTCGCGATGCATGCAGCGTCGGCAGCAGCACGCTGCTGCTGCTGATGCTGCTGCTGCTGCTGCTGTTGTTGTTGACAAAGCCTAACAGTCTCCTGCCCTCTGAAGGCCTCTCCGCTTCTTGTGGGGAGCTGGGATCGTGGGGTGTGGGATCGGTTCCCAATGCTGCTGGATCGGCCCTCGGCCGCTCTACTGGCCGGGGATCCTTGGGTGATGTCTAGGGTTTAGGGTTTAGGGTTTAGGGTTTACTAGAGCGGTGAGTCGTCAGGTAGAGGGAGCTGTCTATACACCTGAATGAGCAGCAAACAAAGGGGACTCTGATAGAACAACCAAAGGGTGGAAGCAAAGAATAGTTGCCTGCTGCAGCTGTTTCCTGCTGCTGTTTCCTGCTGCTGCTGCGGCGGCGGCGGCTGCTGCAGCTGCTGCAGCCGCTGCAGCAGCAACAACAGCAGCAGTAGCAGCTGTCTGTCGGCGTTTTGCGGGTAGAAGGGAGTTGTTAGATTCCTTATTGAGTAAAAAGAATAAAAAAAAGATAAAGAAGACATTAAAATAAACAAAACCTCTGCTGCCTCTACAGCAGCAAGCGATCCAGAGCGGCCCCCAGACTGAGCTGCGGTGTATATGCAGCTCCGCAGCTAATGCATGCAGCTTCTTCTTTATTGTTGTTTATTTTTGTTCTTTTCCTCTTCACTTGGCATTTAAAAGAGAAACGCAGCAGCAACAACACCAGCAACAGCAGAAGGAGCACTTGCAGCATCAGCATCAGCAGCAGCAGCAGCAGCAGGTCCAGCAGCAGCAACAGCAGCAAAAGCATTCTCTAGAGGATTGAGGTGTATGTACAGCTGAAAACCCTAGCAATGACTCTGAAGGCTCTGTGGGGTTCTGGTGTATAAAAACAACTCACAGAAGGCCCCAGCTGCCTGGGCCCGAGACGATCCGTGCTGCTGCTGCTGCTGCTGCTGCTGGTGCTGCTTGAGCTGCTGCTGTTGCAGCAGCAGCAGCAACAGCAACAACACCAGGCACAGCAGCAACATCACCAGCAGCAGCAGCAGCATCAGCATCACCCGCATCAGCAGTAGCAGCAGCAACAACAGCAACAGCAGCAGCAGCAGCAGCAGCAGCAGCAGCAGAGGATGTCTATAAGAGGGATCCATCTAACCTCACGTGGGGGCCCTGGGGTGTCTCCTAGGGTTTGTGGCTCTGGCAGTGAAGGGTTTGGCGTCGGGGGTTTAGGGTTTGCTGCTTTAAATCAAAATGCGCGGTGTATTGTCGCAGCAACGAGGAGAGGGTTTGCAGTCTATAGTACAGAGCCCTTCAAAAAGACCTTCCAGAGAGGTCCCTAAACCCTAAACCCTAAACCCTAAACCCTTGCTTCTCACTTGCAGTCGTTTTAGGGGGAAAGGAGGCGCATGAAGGATTGTTCCCTGGGTCAACGGCGAGCTGCTGAGTATAGTTAGGGTTTAGGGTTTAGGGTTTAGGGTTTAGGGTTTAGGGTTTGTTTGCAGAGCTTGTGGGGCCTAGAGGGGAGGAGACAGAAGATGAGTCGGAAGACTGCATTGGGCTCGTAGAGATGCTGTACACCTGCAACATCTTAGGTGTAGTTGGCAGTAAGTTTGCTGCTGTCTCCTTGCTGCTGTCTCCTTGCTGCTGTCTCCTTGCTGCTGTCTCCTTGCTGCT